CATGCATAAATGCACATAATTTGTACAACAAGCAATCTACATCATTTTCAGTGTAATCTCCATACACAGGACATTCAAATTCGCTATCTCCCCAAATGCAAGTTGAAATGCCATTACATACATTCACATCAAATTCAAACTAGAATCAATATGATTATTAATATTTTTTTTTTCTTTAATAATTTGTTCACGCAATACCTATAATTTTAAGTTTATAAAACTTTTTTTAAGTTAAAAAATTGTTTTTCTCTGATTAATTTTGTGATTTATTACACAATAGATACATCATACATATTTTAGTTTTCTATACTTAGCTAACAATAAATAATTTGTTAAGTAAAATCAAATTTTGTAAGTCAATTACCTTAAGCAGACAGCTAATCTTTCTCAGGGAGAAATGGGTTTTCTCCAATAAGTCTCCTACTTTTTTATGTTGGTTTCTATTTTTCCTAGTAGAATATGAAATGAGTACTGAGTCATTCGAAATTATTCATAAAATTTTTGTTCATCATCCACGAGTCCATAATATAAATTTAAAAATTCACCTTGTTGTTCTCTTTTTTTCCATAAATCATGTACCCATTAAGTATGTTTTCTTTTTCTCTTTTTCGAATTTATTTCTTCCTCTTCGTCAAGAATTAATGCAATCATAATTAATTCTTCTTCGCTAAATTTATTCATTTTACTTGTCTTTACAGACTTGTACTTAACAGAAACTTGAAGTTTTAAAATTCAATCACATCTTTTCCCTACGGTTTCAGAGTGAGTACTGATTACTGCTGAAATTATATAACTGATAAACAGTGAAACAACGAATCGGATCGGATCGAATCGTATGTATGTGAATACAACACTCGGAACATCAAAAATCGGAAAGGACCCGGGGGCCTATTCTCAAATCAATCGAAAAGGGTTTTCGATCAAAAGTTGGTCGAAAGCGAACATATTTACGACCAATTCAAAAATCCGTATTCTCAAACAGTTTTCGATCGACGTTTCGACCGTTGTATTCGATTTCTCGTTTCGACTACTATTTACCAATCGTAAACTTGATTTCGACTGATAGTATATTTTTACAGTAGCTACCTACAGTGTTTAAAAACCGATTTACCTGTACAATTTACAACGGTATTGACTGATTTTTTATTTGTTGTTTGTTTTTTTTTTCAAAGCACTTGGGTACCTATAGTTTGTAAAATTACACATTATTGATCATGGCTAATGACGATGTAGATTTTATTATAATGCAACATAATTTAATGCAAACTATGGTATTAAATAATCTACCATTGGATAATGAAGTTCGGCGTTTTATGATGCCAGAGGATACATTTAATGGTAAGTTAAATATGAAATCGAATTTAGTTTACTTCATGGTTGGTCAATAAATTAAGTAACAACTAATTAATAAACTAAGTAAGTAGGTAGGTAGTCCTTAAATATAGGTGGTACAGTACCGATGTCCTATCAACACTTGTCTTGTTTGGTTATATTTCAAAATATTTCCTTGCTCCTAATAATAAATGTTAACTATTATTATTTTTTTTTTCAGTTTTATCTGAAAGACAGTTCATGGGAACATATCGACTAAGTAAAGTCCTTGTTTGAATTCATACTTTAACCCCTTTTATGAAAATCCCCAACACATTAGCAGGAATAAGTGTACAAAAAAAGGTCTTTACATATTAATTTATTAAAGTATTTGCATTACCGACCTATTAGCCATGACCATATACAAATTATAATGTTTAGGTACTTACGGCTTTACGATTTTATGCTAGTGGAAGTTATCAGCAAGACATCGGTGAACATAGAGGTTCAGCGCTTAGTCAAGCGTCTGTCAGTAGATGCCTTAATGAAGTAACTGAAGCTTTAAATAATTCCCAATTTTTAAATAAATATATTCATTTTCCAAGCAATACAAATGAACTAAATGAGGTTCGTCAAGTGTGAGTTTCTCAGAATGGGTGATAATATTGACTTATAGGGATTAATTTTAGTAACTAAATTATTAGATTTTATGAGAAATTTTCTATTCCTGGAGTTATTGGAGCTATTGATGGGACACATATAGCAATCGTTCCTCTTAAATCTGGAGATGAAATTTATCCAGAACATATTTATGTTAACAGAAAATATGATCATATTATTAATACCTAACTCGTAAATTTTAAAATATAAGTACACCCATAATAAATAGATAGGTACATTTTAGAAAGAAATGTTTTATTATTTCATCTATTACTAGTACTATTTATTATAAAAGTATGCATACTATATTACTATGTATATAATATTATATATACCTATTTTTTACTTTTGCAGATATGTGATTCAAATTTAAAAATATTAAATATGTATTCAAGATTTCCAGGAAGTGTTCATGATAGTTATATCTTGCGTTTAAGTCCGATAAATGATTTATTAAAACATTTACATTCAGTAGGACTAACATCTTACTCTTTACTTGGTGATTCGGGGTATAGACTAAAACCATTTAACCATGGTTAATGACTCCATTACTTGAACCACAGGCGAATAGTCCTAAAGCCCGGTATAATGAATGGTTTTGTAAAAGTAGATCAATTATTGAACGCTGCAATGGTGTTTTGAAAATGCGATTTAGGTGTCTTTTGAAACACTGAGTACTTCACTACTCACCAGAAAAGGCTGGAAGCATTATAAATGCTTGTGTAATATTGCATAACATTTGCATATCCAATAACTTGCCAATGGTCAATATTAACGAAACTGATGAATTGATTTTGGGATGGATCATGATTTAAAACCAAACAATATTGTTAACCCAATAAATGCAGAATTAACTGAAGGAAAACGGTACCAACAACAGATTATTAACAGATATATTCAATAAAACAGCATTTTTTTTTTTTCATTAAATATGTAACATCTTAAAAGTAAATAAAATCATTCTTTATTATATAAAAAAATCAACGCTTTGTAACACTTAATTCTTAAATATAACACATTTTCAATAACTACTTGTCTCTATTAAACATTATAAAATTAACATAATTTAACAGAGTATACATATATGTTTAAATAATAATAACAGTATGGGTATCTTCAGTAGATATAAAGAGATATTGATGTATAGGGACATAGTATTTTTAAAAGTATAGGATTAGTAATAGTAACAGTATTAACTATTAGTATTAAGTATGGTATTTTTTACCTAACCTAGATATTTTTTTCCAAGAGCGGCTGCTATTTTTTCTTTGGCAACCGTCATTCTTTCTAACAGCTCAATTTTCGCATCATAATAATTTTTTAAAACAATAGTTCTGTCATCACTTATTTTATTTAGTTTATCAGATGCTTCAATTGATTTTTTCAATATGCCAAGTTTACTGGAAGAAATTAAAAAAAATTTATAATTTATACAAGAATATTTATTATCATAATTATTATGATTTGCAAAAATATTTTATTTACCTATATTTCATCTGTGATTTAATGGTTGGGCTAGTTGTTTCCTCTTTGCCTTCAGCAATACCGAGATCATCAGTATAATCAACATTGTTTGGTCCAGATACAATGTTATCTGGCGTAGACCTACACATTTATATTAGTTATTAAATTATTACCTAGGCAAATTCAAATTATAGTTACTTACAACAAATCATTAGTCATTTTTCGAGACCTCATAACTTCATTGTATCCATAAAAACAAACGATTGGTTCCACTGTGTCTGGATGTCCATTAACAGATACTTCCCCTATAATGGCTAAAATTTGATTTTCTAAATCATCAAGTTCTTCACTTTCATTCATTCCTGCACCTGTTTTTCCAGAATTTTTTTTGATTTCTGCACTTTTGGACTTGGTATTACTTTTTAAATCTATCCCGCACTAAATGTTACAATAAATATTAATTATAATTATAAGTTACAACAATTCATAAATATTGTAGTTAGGTACTTAGCGAGGGGTAAACACCTTGGGGGTAATCAGTGTACAAGGTGATGGTAAGTATAGGGGTAATCATGGGTAATCATAGGTAATCTTTGTAGTGAATCATTTGTAATCATAGGTATAATCATTGAAATCAGTAATCTGGCGTACAAAACTTCTGTCAGGTATTTACTCCTCGGTACTTAGTATAAATAATATATGAAGCTATTAGTAAAAAAAAAAAGTTTTTAGTAATATATATTATAAAGTAATAATTATTATTAAAATGGTTAATACTCATAATAAATATAGAAAATAAATATAAATAAAAAATGAATAGATGTGTCGCCTGAAGTATTATGATAAGTGCGACCGGTTTCAAATTCAAAATTCATAATCAAGTATACCACAGTTAAAACGAGACTCAAAGTTTTCTTAGTTTTTAGTTTTCTCAGAGTCAAATTTTTAGTATAATTTATTAATTATTTAATGTATATTATATAATAAATAAGTTGTATATGTTTAGTACCTGCTATAAAATAAAAATCGGGTAATTACACGAGTATTTACTTACTTTTTTGCACTTTGATGGGTCTTTCGTTGCGCCAACTATTGAGTTTAGCTCATTACTTATTTGTGTCCATAATAAATGTCCATTATCGCTGTTAATAATAAAAACACATTGAATATTATCTATTCTGTGATATTATTACGTCTTACACCATGTCCGACGAATCAGATGAAATCATAGTTTCAACACCTCCGAAAAAAGAACATATCAACAAGGATATCGTACGGCGTGGGAAAAAGAGGACCAATTTAAGAACTGGCTTACAAGAAGTAAGAAAGGTGAATTGTATTTTTATTGTAAAACCTGTAATTTTAATGGTAAAGGTGGGAAATCAGAAATCGGTAAACATGCCAGTACTGGTAACCATAAAAAATGATGTGCTTCATCAAAAAACCAACAAACATTATTTTCAATGGCCAGTATTTCTAATGCTACATCATTAGACAATGATGTTAAAAAAGGTGAGCTTCTTTTATGTTCTTTTGCTGTTGAACATAACATTTCATTCAATGCAATGGCTCATTTGTCAAAATTTTTACCAAAGATTGATAGTAATTCAAAAATTTTGAACACCATAAAATGTGCAAGAACGAAGTCTGAAGCTGTAATGAAAAATGTAATTGGGGAGAGTGAAAAACTTAAACTTATATCTCATTTAGAAAATAATACTTTTTCATTGATTGTTGATGAGAGTACAGACCGTGCTTGTATAAAACACATGGCACTTGTATGTAGAACAGTGGATAGTTAGTCCAATACCAACGATTATTTTCTTGCATTAATTCCACTAGATCAAGCTAATGCAGAAACTTTGTACAATCATATTATACATTTTTTTACAAAACATTCCGTAGAATACAAAAAAAATGCTTATTGGTTATGCAAGTGATGGTGCTAATGTTATGATGGGGGCACATAACTCTTTAGCTACCAAATTGAAGGATGATATTCCTAATATTTTTATTTTAAAATGCATATAGTTTTCATTTATGTGCATCTTATGCGTGTACCAAACAACCAATATGAATAGAAGAAACAGCAAAAGATATATACAACTTTATAAACACAAGTCCAAAACGGTTATGTAAATATGCAGAATTTCAAACATTTTTAAATATTAAACCACATAAAATGTTACAACCTTGTCAGACTAGGTGGTTGTCATTACTACCAGTAGTTAACAGATTATTGGAACAATTTGACAGTCTGAAGCTATATTTTACAGGAGAATCGCTAGAACAAAATATTGAAAAAGCAAGAGATATTTTAGAAAAGTTGAACAATCCATTATTCAAATTAAACTTACAGTTTTTACAGTATATTTTACCACTCTTTAACGATTTGAATAGGGAATTTCAATCAGAAAAACAAAACATTCATATTCTATATGATCGTTTAGAGCAGTGGTGGCCAAACTACGGCCCGCCATCATTTAATATAGGGCCCGCGAAAGAAGTAGAATATTTTACATTTACGTAAAAAATTGTTAGCTATTGCTTGTTACTTATTAGTTATTACCCTTGCAATCAGCATAATAATAATTGGAAATTGGTATTATAATTTTAAACCTAGTAGTTGTACTATCAAGTAGATAGTTATCACTTCACAATTTACAATTATTATTATTAATCTATTTTTACTTTGTAGATACATAATAATACAGTATATTGCAACTAGCAAAGAATATTGTGTTGTCTGATAATAAATGTGTTCGTTCCAATTATGATTACATTAGTATAATAATCATAATTCGCTAGGTATTTAATATAAATTTAGATACTCTTTTTTTATGACAAGTGGTAGATACTTTTAATATGGATACTTTTAATGTTGTTCAAATTAATCCCAGTTTACTGCGTGCTAATCTGTTGAATGAAAATGTCATTAATAATTATATAAAATATTATTCCCAACAAACACAAACAAGTTGGTGTGTACTTAAGTCATTTAAATCGAATAGATTTGTTATTCGGTAAGTGAGTAATACATATAAATGCCATTATTATTATTATACTAAATAGAGATGTATTATTACTCATAGGCGTAAACTGGGGGGGGGGGGGCAGTGCCCCCCTTGGTATTTTGTAAATTAATTTGAAAAATATTACCAAAAATTTTAAATTTTTAAGAATTATTTTTTCAAAAAAACTGAAAAGTATAATATTTTAAAAAGATTAACTACAGAAAAAAAAATTAATTGATTAATCAAAATGTATTTATTCATTGGCATTTGCTATAATGCCATCGTAATAGGTACATTATGATAACAGAATTTAATCTATTATCATAATAAATTATTATCGAGTAAAAACAAAACCAAACAGCAAACTGCAGCAGGCTGTGTTCCATAAACCGTAAAATCGTTCGGTGATATGACAGCCTGTTTTCCTATTCGTGATAACTGTTTAACCATCAACTTCAACTGATAACAATTTATATGACACATTTGTTTGAGCTTTGGTATGGTGTTTGCCACTGTTTGGATAAACTACATTAAAAAACATTAGTATAATACCATTAACCTTACCTATTTATTGTGCGTATGCCTTTAATTTAATGTTTTTTGTATAAGCTATAAATATAATAGTTAATAAATATTAAATAGACGCACTGTGTGAAATTTAAAAATGAATAAAAACCCAACAAAAAAGTTGAAAACATTGCATAATTTTTTTACAATTGAATCAAATGATTCATTGATTCAGAATTCTACTGCCGAAACAATATTACAAGTACCAGACGGATCAGAGGCAAATGGTATGAATTTGACAGTTTTTCCTTTTGAATACCTACATTTTTTTGTAGCTTGTTTTTGTTTACTTAAACTAATTACTATTACTATTTTTAATTTGAAGAACAATCAAAACCAGATCATGATATACCAGAACAGGCAGAATCAACTACTATTAATGGTAGGTACTTCAGTAGTTCAGTAGTTGTATGAAATATGTTAACAAATTACTTTGTTAGAGTCTATTTTTTGTACAGCCGAGTGTTTGTGTTCAATGTTATTCATAAATATATTTATCATTCAGTCTTTAAGACTGATTATTTTTACTTCTGTAAGATCTATATTGATATAGGTAAATAATGATCTTAGATTTGTCATTTGTGATTGTAAATGTTCCTTTATTGTTTTGTATCTTATGTAGTTATGTACCTATTAAATATGATTTACCTATTTACCAATTTATTTAACTTAATAATTAATTATGATAAATTTTCATTGACATAATGATGTGTTCTTCTTTAAATATCAATGAATACTGTTATAATTATTGTCTTGTACCTATTATGTATAATTAATTAATAAATGTATTATGATATTATTGTTATTAGGTTATTTTTTTTATATTTTAACTTTGTACCTTCCTGTGTTCTGTCTTCAAATATTCATAAGTAATGTGCAATGTAATTTGGTATTAATATTTAGACAAAAATCTGAATGTTACATTATACATTAGTTACCACTTACCAGTAAGTATTCTTTATTTATAATACATTAAATATGAAATTATTCATTTACATTGATTAGTAAAGTAGTTTAGTTTGCTTTTGCTTTTGCTTAATAGATTTGTACTTTTGTACCTAGATAAAATAGAAATGTTGCATATTTTTACTATTAACAAATAAATAAATGAAATTGGTATAATTTAATTTTCTAACGGTTTAGGTACCACATAATTTTTACTTATTAAATATTCTTACATAATATTAAAAATTTAAAATATTTTGTTCAAAGTTAATATAAAATAATGAAATCCAAACATAATTTTAATAATATTATAGATGCAGAAAATAGGGATCCAGTGAAAGGATATGAGAATGCAATGAAATTTTTAGCTCTGAAAGAAGGCTCATTTCAACCAAAAAATATATTATATCCAGTTATTAATGTACGGAAATTTCGTGAAGCATGGTTTAATCAATACCCATGGCTTGAATATAGTCCAGCTCTAAATGCTGCTTTTTGCTTTTTTTGTAGAGCATTCTATAAATTGAATAAAATGGATAATGCATTTACTTGTAAAGGTTTTAATAATTGGAAAAAAGCAATCGAAAAATTTAACAGTCACCAAAAAAGTAATATTCATTTAGAATCTTCAATAAAAGTTGAAGAATTTAAAAAAACTTTGCGTGTAAACTGTGGATCAATTGCTCACAAATTAGATTCCCAACGTAGTAAAATTGTTACAGAAAATCGGCAGTACTTATCGGCAATCCTAGAAACTATTCTTTATTGTGCCAAACAATGTATTGCACTTCGAGGACATAATGAGAGTAACGAAAGTGGTAATCAAGGTAACTTTATTGAACTTTTGAAAATTCGATCTGGGGATAATAATATTATAGCTAGGTATTTTTTACAAAAAGAAAAGACATTCCGCTATGTTAGTCCTGATTATCAAAATATTTTTATAAATTTGATGGGTCAGAATGTTTTGAATCAGATAATTGAAAATGTCAAAAATGCAGGTGTGTATAGTGTAATAATGGATGAAACCCAAGACATGAAAAAACATGAGCAAGTTTCTATAGTTTTAAGATATTGTGATACACGATTAAACGTATTTGAAAGTTTTATTGGGTTCTATAGAACAGATAAAATGGATGGAGAATCTCTTTCAAATTTACTTAAACATACTCTACTAACATTAGGTCTAAAAATCGAAAATATCAGAGGTCAATGCTACGACGGTGCAGCTTCGATGCGTGGTTCATACTCAGGAGTTGCTAAAAGGATTAAAGACGAAAATAAACTAGCCCTGTATGTACATTGCTATGCTCATGTACTAAACTTATGTGTAGTTGATGTTAGTGGGAAAGTAGTACCAATTCGTAATATGTTTGGTACTTTAAATAAAATTTATACGTTTATAGGAGCTTCTTCAAAAAGACATTCAATATTTGAAAAAATACAAAAGGAATCAAATTTATCCAACAATACTTTAAAATCACTTAGTGACACTAGATGGGGTTGCCGAATAGAAGCTATACGTTCTGTTATAAATAATTTTAATTCTATTGTGTTAACCTTAGAAAATATAAATGAAACAGACTCTACTCATGGACCTGATGCAAATTCAATATCAAATAATATTCAAAACTTTGAGTTTATATTTTGTTTAAAGTTAATGAAGTTAGTTTTTGAATTAACCAACTCCTTGTCACAACATTTTCAAAAAAAAAATGCTAACTTCTCTACTATTTCAATATTAACAGAAGCTACTCTTATGGAGCTACAGTCTCTTCGTAGTGATGATAGTTTTGATAAAATTTGGACGGAAACAGAACAGTTAGCTTCCAAAGAATCTATTTCACCACCCACAATTCCAAGAATAAGAACAATACCTTCAAGATTAGGTGGTGGTGAAACTTTAATTTCGAGAAATGTTGCATCATATTTCAAAACTAATATTTATTTTCCTGTGTTAGATATAGTTATACATGATATAAAAACAAAATTTGCAGAAAATAATTTAAAAATACTTAACGCTCTTCAAAATTGTTTAAGTACTAGAAACCACAGGGATGAAGATATTTTAGAAGTTTGTAACACCTACAATATTAACTTTGATGACTTAAAGGCAGAATTAAAACTATTTGGGAAAATGTGTTCATCAACTAATACTGATGAAAATTTTGAAGCCCATTTAACTTTGTATTTAGAAAAAGACTTGATTGGCTCATTTGACAATATTTACCTTATTTATAAAATTTTTCTTTCTATTCCAATGAGTTCTGCTTCAAGTGAACGTTCGTTTTCATCTCTTCGTCGCCTCAAAACATTTACAAGAAACACAATTGGCCAAGAAAGACTTAGTAACATGGCTATTTTACATATTGAAAAAACTTTTGAAATTAACTTTGATACAATTATTGATCAGTTTGATGCAGATTCAACAGAAAGAGGTAGAAGACTTCAATTGTCATAGACATATTTCAAGGTTATAATATTAGGTTTAACTTTTAATAATGTTAAATAGGTAATTAAAAACGTTTAAATGTAAATTTAAAATGTTAAATAAAGTATAATATTTGTATTTATGTATAAATATAAATTCCATTTTATTTAAAAATAAAGCAACAAGTAGAATATAGAAATGCAGAATGTTTTTATTAAAAAAACCATCATCTTATCAAGCTTTTTCCATCATGTTATTTAATTTTACATGCTACAATAAAAATTTAGCTTAGATAATATTATTATGTTATGCTTTGCAGTTTCCATTGCTTAAGTATATTAAGTGTTTTAATTAAT